GCGTGGTGTTCATAGTGCTCATAATTGCCGCGGTGATCTGAGTGGGCTCCATGATTCCAGTGCTATGGCGTCTGGGCTGAAAAAAGGCGCGAAACTATTGTCTGACGGAGGGAGGGAGGGGCGAGTGACGACATGGCTTACAGGTACAGGGAATTAAAATCAACAAAGGTGGCTGTGCATCAGGGAGAAACACAAACTGTCACACAGAATGCCCCCCCCCCCAAAGATTGAACTCAAAACCCTGGGTTTAGCAGGCCGTTGATTTCACGGAGGGAGGGGGAAGCAAATGAATACAGAACAAATCTGGTCCATCTATTTTTTACATCTTAAGCTGGCAGCAGACGGTGCAGCATGACTGATAGCCATCGGCATCTTCTGGGTGCTTGGCAGAAAATGCTGTATTATGACTGCTAGCCATCATCGTCAAGACGGTTCAATAGGACTGCCGGCAGGACTGAGTCTCCAGGAGACAAAACATGTCTGCCCAGGTGCCTCTGACCGAACTCACTGAGGAGCACGACAACGATGGATACCAGTCATAATACACCATCCACTGCCAAAAGGCAAGGGGCTGCTGCTGTGTAGCAATGCAGCCCCACGTCTGCCGGCACCCAGATCGCCGATGACGGCTACCAGTCATACTGCACCGTCTACTGCCAAAAGGCAATTAGCTGCTGCTGTGTAGCAATGCAGTACCACGTCTGCCGGCACCCAGATGACATATGGTGACGGTGAGCTGAACTGAAAGGGCTCCATGCTTGCCGTGGTATGTCGTCTGCACAGGTAACCCAGGTAAAAAGGCGCGAATCGATTGTCTGCCGTTGCTCTGACGGAGGGGGAGGGGCCTGACGTCATGTACCCAGAACCCCCCGCAACACTGTTTTTGCATCATCAGGCATTGGGATCTCAACCCAGAATTCGAATGGGCGGCGGAGACTGCGGGAACTGTGGGATAGCTACCCACAGCTACCCACAGTGCAACGCTCCGGAAGTCGACGCTAGCCTCGGTACTGTGGACGCGGTCCACCGACTTAATGCACTTAGAGCATTTTATGTGGGGACACACACAATCGACTGTATAAAACCAATTTCTATAAAACCGGCTTCTATAAATTTGACCTAATTTCGTAGTGTAGACATACCTCCAGTGAGGACAAGGACAGAACCCACCAGCTGAGCAGGAAACTGCCACATGAGACTTCGGCCTGGGCTACACTACACAGTTAGGTTGATATAAGTCGCCTGGCTTGGACCTACATGTGTGTTTACACTCAAATTTGTCTGCAGCCAAAGTAAGCACCCCATTCCAGCAACGCAGGAAAACCACCTCCCCAAACAGTGCAGAACCGGGCTCGACCTCGACGCAGGGCGAGTGTAGGCACTGCATGACCTGTGTCGACCCTGAGCTGGGGGAATAACATGCCCTGAGCTCCCTAGTGAGAGCAGGAGTGGTAAGAGGGTCTGAGTGGGACGAGGCAGCAAACGAGACAGGAGCTGGCAGTGGAGTGTGGTGGTAAAAACCTAATGCAGCTGGTGAGGATACACAAGCAAAGGCCTCACAACATGCCAGCAGGAGCTCACTCCTGATCTGACTGATCACTTGCTTCCTCCCCACAGCGGCTGCGCCTGCTGCCATCTCCCAGGGTAGAGACGCTATTGTCCTCTGCTCACTAACAATGAGAGGGACGAGTTCCCCTCTCTCTGACCCTGGGAGGACCCCCAGCCCCTGCACTCAGCCCCAGGCCCCTAAGGCCCAGAAGGACAGTGACAAAGCAGAGGGAGCTGGAGCAGCTCCAGAGCCGTACCAGGAAGTGCCAAGTCTGTCTGGCTCAGCACAGAGACAACTCGGGGGGGGGGGGTGACAAAAGCCCACACACGTGAGGGGTGTGAGCCCACTGAGGGAGGTGTGTTCGGCGTGTGTCACTAAGCCGACTAGGGCAAACCCCAAAAGGGGAATTTCAACTGCAGCTCAGAGAAACGCCCTGCAAAGAGACAGCTGTGGCCTGTGATACGCTGGAGATCGGATGGTCACATTGGTCCCTTCTGGCTTGACAGTCAATCAGTCTCCTGGGGCAGGGCTGAGTCCCGGCACTGGGACACTTGTAACCAGCCTGACAAAGCCTTGGGGAAGAGGCTCTGGGGAGAGGTTCTGCTCTGCCCCAAGGAATGGGCTGGGGGTGAGTGGATGGGACTGGCCTCTCCCCACCTTCAGCTGTAAATAAGGGAGCCAAATCTGGCAGTGAGCAGGGATGCTGGCCCAGGTGAGGGCCGGGGCAGGGTCACGGGCTGACAGGCCAACACTGCGGCCATGCAGCCCCCACCTCAGGCCAGGGACACAGGCCAAGCCAGCTGCAGCCCTTTGGCTGAGCGGCCAGTGGAGGGGCAGCACTGCTGGGGCCGAGGGCTGCTGCACGCTGTCAGCCAGGAACAAATGCATCCAGGGCCCACACTCACCCGAGACGCCAAAGGGCCGTCTGAGGCCCGTGCTCAGTTTCCGCGTGTAGGTCTCCTTCAGGTCCATGCGCCCCACCCGCACAATCTGACACACCAGGAAGAGCCTCTCTCGTTTCAAGTCCTTGCTGCCCAGGTCCTGAGGAGGGGGAGAGAAACTCAGAGAAAGGCCCAGCAGAGCACAAAGGCCTGGCCAGCAGGTCCCACGTCCCACCCCAGGCGGTTCTGATGCCACATGGGGCAGGCTAGTCCTCAGCTTGGGGGCACCATGTCAGCGCTGGTGGGGATGGATGGCACTAGGGGGCTAGCTCAAACAGTGCTAACAATCCCCACCCGGCCTTTCAAAATCTCCCAGAGTGCACTGCTTCTGGGGGCTACTGGGAATTGTGGGATAGGTCCCCAGAGGGCACTAAGCAGGGCTCTAGTGAGTCAGAGGGACACGCTGAGATGTGGTGCTTCAGCCTGTGCACAAGCCATGCAGCGGCCAAAGGGCACCAGGCAGTGGTGACAGAACAGAGCGAGTCCCTCCCAGGACACCTGCCTGGGTGCTGTGCAGAGGGGCAGGGCTGGATGATCAGCTACAGCAGAAGAGCACGGTGGGGCGGGAGCTGGCTTTGTGCTCATGCTGTTTATCAGCTTCATTTACATACAGACTTCCCCTTTCTCTGGCCAGCCGCCTTGGCCCCTTCCTGGGGACAGTCTCGGTGCAGCTTGTGCCGTGCGAATACAGCTCGGGACAGGTCTACACTTAAAACACTTCTGCGGAGCAGCTGCAGCGTTTCAGTGTGGACACTGCCTACACCGAGGGGAGGCGTTCTCCCACTGGCACAGGCAATCCACCCCCCCGAGAGGTGGTAGCCTTCTGACATCAACCTAGTGTTGTCTGCACTGGGGGTTGGGTCACTTTAACGGAGCCGCTCTGGGGTGTGGATTTTTCACACCCCTGCAAGACGTAGCTACATGGCTGTAAGTGCCTAGTGTAGACCAGGCCTTGGTCAGTAGGAGCCACATGCCCTCTGTTCCCCTGCCTGGGGCCTGCGAGAAATCAAGGCAAGCCCCAGCCAAGGAGATGGGCCCACAGGAAAGCCCGGGGAGAGGGGGGCAGTTGGGGCCCTGGTGTCTGAGTGTCACAGAGGAAATGGGCCACAGAAGGATCTAAAGGAGCAGACGGTGGAACCAGGAGCTAGGGTGAGCACCCACTGCTTATTTTCAGATGGACTGAAATGTATTAAAATTAATCATAGAGACCATTTTAAACATTCAGTTGCCGCGTATGATAATTGCAGGTGTATACTGAAGGGCAGTAGAAATGTAGATGTGAGAGGGAAATACATGGCATGCTGGAGTTTCACTAAAATGTCCCTTAAAACAAAGTGTTACCCCTCATTTGTCATATGGTTTTCCCTTATTTTCATCCAACACAGGTGGTCACCCTAGCAGAGCACTGGGACCAAGGACCAGTCAAGGCGGAGTGGGGGAGAGGGGCTGGGAGCACTGGGTCCAGGGCTGGGAGCCAGGTGGGGGAAGGTCAGGGAGGGGCATGGTGGCCCAGCTGCGGTGGGGGAGGGGCATAGGGCCCAGCTGCAGTGGGGGAGGGGAGGGGCATGATGGCCCAGGTGGAGTGGGGGGGCATGGTGGCCCAGCTGTGGTGCGATGGAGAGGGGCATGGTGGCCCAGCTGCGGTGGGATGGAGAGGGGCATGGTGGCCCA